CAACATAACAAAATTGAAAAAAGTGAAGGGGGTCTGAATACTTTCCGAATGCACTGTATGTCTTTTTTCATTATTTTGATCAGTGACAAGGATTTTATAACTGCTTCTGATAAAGCATAAGTATGAACAAGGGCCTTTTTCATTTTCCTCCAGCAATGATGTCTCACAGAATGGAGCACTGTGTAGGACCAATGCAAGACAAATGCCGACTGATTGATCTCCTGACCATCGATGCTCTCAATTATTGGTGGGCATTTCCCCCAGTGGCACTGCTTACATAAACTGTATGTTACTACTATCTTGTGCAAACAAAAGACAATCATGAACACAACTATCCTTTGAATAATATAAAATCCACGTAAACCATTAAATTACTTGACAACAAGACTGACAAAAATAAAATTACAATAGTTAACAAAAAGGTTCAACACGTACATTCTTGCTGCCTCCAACAGATGCTTATCCCTTGCATTCACTCAGCTATATGAAACCAAGACCCTCATTTTCAACATATAGAATTCATGCACCAATATAAATCTCATTAAAGTCTAAGAGTAAATATTTAAACTTGCCTGATTTATCAAAATATTTAAATACTTACCTATCATCAAATAAGTGAATCAATCTTAATTTAAGCTATACAATTATTTCAGAACATGAATTATACTACCTAAATGACTAGCAAGCTTTAAAAGAATTATTTCACACAGAGAGACATGAAATTTCCTAAAAGAAAACCAGTGTTAGGACCAATGGCACAATTTACTACAAATGTGTCTTATCAATAGGAATTTAGCTTTGCACAGGTGTTATTTTAGTAGGAACTATGCATGGAGAATTCCTGGTAGATTGTACCCACAGTAAAACAACAGCAACAGCAGCAGCATACATTAACTTAAGCACGCTCACCTTATATATATTTAGAACCAATATTCCTTTGAGCAGATACATTCCACTAGCAGATTCTTCTAATTCCTCCACTCTTATAGGCCCCTGACAAACATCTCCAGAGTGCTAGGGGACCCTCTGGAATAATGCAGTTACTACACTGGAGGATTAAGGGGGAAATTAGTGAAAATGGTCTCCCTATTTCCCTCTAGGAAAAGCCTCTGCTGGATTACAGACTCTTTCTTTCACAGGTGGGCAGTTCAAAACCTAATTCAGAGATAATCACATTCTCTTTTGCTGATGATTTGGATTCTAAAGTTTATCCTTTAGGCAGAATCAAGGTAACTATGACAACTTAGACATTCTTTGGAATTTAAATTCCATTCCCATTCAAATACCCAGATTGTCAGAAAGCTGGCAATCTTTTGGTTATCAGGAGCCAGCAATTTTTTCCAATGGCAGGTTCCAGAATATTAGAAGCATGGTAATAAAAATAGCTGGAATATCACAAAATCACCTATTCTCATAAGTCTTCAGAAATCTCCCAAGTTCTAAAATGAGAATGCTGAAATCTTAATGTATTTCTGTATTCTTATCTAAATTCCTGCAAGATCCTGCAAGGTATCTGCTGACTCCCTTACATTTTGCATTCTGGCAGCAGCCTATGTTTTCTATAGAAGAATCTAAAAGTAATCTCCAAAGTTATAATAGTTAGCTGATTAGTCCTAATTAGAATTTCCATTTCTATAAATAAATCAGTATAATATAATTTAGAAACAAAGCACATCATTTAAAATCTCTAAACAGCTAGTACGGAAGCAAGATTAATGTTTGAAGTTGTTTGAAATATTAATATTTCAAACAACTTCAAACATTTTTCTATGAAAACTCAAACACTTTATCAATATTGACTGGATAGGCAGCATACAAGCCCTCGCTCAATTCAGCACCCAGGAAGGTAAGAATATCAACTGGTGTGGCCTGTGGCATGTTTGTCACCAAGGAGCTCTAGGTAATACTTATTCAGCAAAATTGAATGCAAAGCTGACTATGAACCTAGTGCAGACAGTTTTTGCCCCATCAGGAGAGCTCTGTAGGCTTATGAAGATTTCTTTTTTTCATGCAAATTCTCCCCACCCTTCCATTCTGAAAAGACAGCCCAAAAAAAAAGAAAAAGGTCCTGGCATTGCACCATGTTAGGCTCTGAAAGAAAAAGGAATGTATGACAAGAGAGGGGAGGAGGGGAGAGAAAAGGAGCGTTTGACCCCATGTAATATTCCTGATCAGGCAGTGCTAAGTTTGCACGAGGATGGTATGATCCCCCAAATGACTTTGCAGAGTTATTCCATGTCCTTCAAGCCTCAGATTACAAACCTGGTAACTATTACACAGGACTATACATAACTTTTCAGGAACTAGGGAAGAGTAGTCAGTAAAAAGTTACCATGAAAGGTTCCTCCACCCTGTCATTTCTTCTGCTTGACGCTATATATCAAAGCAGGAATGACTGCTGAACTTGGCTCAGATTTTTGGACACCCTGTGCCATTTGTAAAAGCAGAGATGACACAGCCTCTGTGAGAGCCAGGATCATAGTGCAAAGTTTTTCAGCAAAAGCCATGCTGAACTACCATTACTAGTAAGCAGGCCAAACTGGATCAAGACCTATGTGTCTTCATCAGTTTGATCTTTTGTCAGCTCCTGTTCAGATACACTGGACACATCATCATCTGTCTGTTCACCTGAGTGATAGAGCATCAGTGCATGGGTCTTGTGAGTAATAGTGATGGTGCAAGGGCCTTGTGCCCAGGGTTCCCCATCCACTTGCATTGGCATCTTTGAGTTCTTCAAGATCAACTGAAATGGAAAAGCAAAAAAGAAGTCAAGCAAGTGTAGAGATTGTGGAACTGAGTCAGTCTAGGCCACTGCTTTCACACAGGATACTAAAACTAAATATCTTTAGTATGCATTGAACAATGTAATTAATTCCTATTCAGGGGAGTAAGCAAGCTGGTGGGAGCATGATGGTCTCTTTGGGTTTGTGTCGTTTCCTCTGCAACCAACATAGAAATGCAGTAAGCTGGCAGAAGAGATTTTCCAAAAGCAAAAACCTAGTCTGCAGATCACTTCCCCTTTTGCTTGAATATTTTCAAGCAAACTAGAAAACCCCTGAGGGCTTATTAGAAATTTTGGAACACCTTATAAACTCTGGGGAGAGAAATAAATAGGAGATTTTGGAGAGGATAGAGTTGAATTAGACAGTAATCTGTCCTGGACAAGAAACAAGGGAAATGACAATCATTCATTCAAGAAGATGCTTTGGAAAGTATAAGCAATTCAGATGACCTGTTTGGCTTGAGTGTGTGATTATGACTCAGTGTGAAATAAATATTGTTTGGATTGTTGGAGAAAGTGGACTTCCTTGTCTAATAGTAGAAGACTGTAGACTGTTAACAGAAGACAATAGGTATGGCCTACATTTTACACTAGAATGTAGGCCAACTAGTTTTGAGAATGCCACTCCAAATTAGTTGGCCTAAGTTCCTCTGCTGAGTATAAGCAGAACATCCACTCCAGAAAGTCAATCAAAGCACCAGAGGACATCATCCAGCATTTGCCTCCACATCCACCAAAAATTAATAAAAAATGTAAGCCCCAACTCCAAAATATTTCATCCAGCATTTGCCTCAGAGCTACGTCTTCATGCCTTACAGAGGCATCTGATGGTCCTCCACTGGTCTGGTCTGTCTGTTTCCAAGAGCAACTAAACTATATGGGAGATGAACTCAGCCTCCATGTCCTGCCTTTTCCCAACACGCTTTCTGTTTCATTATTGGGCTCCAAATGAAAGGTTCAATCCAGAGTATGGAAAACAGCCACAAGGATGTGCCACTTACCCTCACAGTATGGGCCTGTCCCAGCCGGACAGGATTTGCAAGCTTCACTTGAATTTGTGCACAGTGAAAAGAGCCATTGACTCCAACAACTTCCAGTAGTCCATCATCATGCCTGAAGTAGGACAAGGAGAATTGATGATCAATAAAGCCATCCTGGACCCAATTTTCAAAAAGGTTTCCTGATTATGAGTATCACAGCCCTGCCATAGGAAACAGCAACCTCCACCCCCACCCCAGGATGAGAAGATATGCTGAGACAACCAAGTGTGCAGGTGTGGCAAGAATCTTGTTTCCCATCCCAACTCCTCGGGCCTCTACTTGAGGAAGAGTTTTTAAAAGTCAGAAAGGAAAGGAGGTAGAAAGTTGAGGTGTTGGTTTAGATGCTTCCACTTGGCAAGAAAGAGGAAATGTGAACTGAGAGAACACCTGGCCAAGAGTTGGGGAAGGAACAAATTATCTTTTTTTTCTTTTTAATTTGAAAAGAAAAAACAAGAGAGACAAACCCAAAGTTTTGGCTGGGCCATGGACTGCCATCTGAAATGAAAATAAACTCTTTTCCCAAGCATGACTATAATAGTCTCCAGTCTGAAATGAGTCCTCATTTATTAAGATGAAAGGAGGAATAGGTTGGGGCAGGGTTGGAGAGACCAAATGCAGGGTGGGGGGAACTGTGCCCAGGGCTCCCCAACCATGGCAATGCAGTCAGTGTGGCAACTCCACTCAACTTTGTTATCCAATACATATGGCCCTTCTTGGATGAACCACCCCTGGGTGCAAGGCCCTCCAATCTTTCCCACTGCACATAGTTTATATGCAACTTATTACTATCCTACCTTGCCAGAGGATAAAGCTCATCCCCCATTCCTTCCCACAGTCGACAGCCACCTCCCCAGTAGGCAATATTTAGCACTATGATCCCTTCCAAACTGGGCAGGTCGATCTTCTCTCCATCCAACTCTAGCTTTAAAGATATACAAAAGGTTGTTAGTAAGTTAGAGTGGCAAGAATGAATTTAAAACGTTTGCGCTATGGGGCAGGTCAGAAGGGAACACAAAGGAAGGCAAGCAATCATTTTGCTTGGCCTCTGGACTCACACATCATGCTAAGCCAGGGATAACCATGGTTTGATGAACATGTCCCAAATAAACCACTAATAATTTTGCAAACAAGCAAAGTAATCCTGGCTTATTTGGCCAATTGCTGCTTTGCTTTCCCTTGTTTTTTTAAAAACTGCTTTTGCATTGCACCTCTGTGGATTGGTCAGAGGCTTGACTGGAGCACAGAAGAAACCAGGAAACTCCATGTGGCCCCAGTATGTTACGGAAGAGCAATTTATTGACTGGCGCCATTCACACCTCACGCTAAGCCAAAACAAACCAATTGCATTCTGATTTAGTATACAGGGTGAATCTATTCCATTTAAATTGAGTTGATCTGGGGAGTTTCATATATGGTTGCAAAAGCAAAAATAAGGACAAGTGAGCATCCAGTTATTGCCGTCCAGGACAACTGTACACCCTTATTTAAGAAGGTACAGAACATACTATTGATGTCCATCTGTTCAGGATGCCACTAATTTCTCCCTTCCATGTACGTTCTTGATTTAATGCATACAATTTCTGATTTCATCTCCTTACAAATAACAAGATATAGGTAGTCCTCAATTGGGGGGAACACAATTGGGACTGGAATTTCCATCACTAAGTGATTCAGTCATAAAGTGCGATGTCACGTGACTGCATCGCTTAGCAACAGCTATCCTGGCAGTCCCCATTGCCCTTGTTAAGCAAATTCCACTGGTCATTAGCCAAGGACCCACCCCAATCCAAGCCATTCTGGGCTTGGCCTCTCCCAGCCCTGAGCCTTGGTTCTTCCAGGTAACTGCCTATTCCCCCCCATCTCTGCTATTTTGGCTGCCCTGCACCCTGCCTTGCGGGACAGCAAGCAGCCCCACAACTGTGTGGGTCTGGGGCTGCTTGCTGCAAGGAGCCCCTGAGCCACAGTGCAGCACAACTCTGCAGCTGCTTCTGGAAGCTTCAGCTGCCTCAGCCTGGCCCAGCAGCACAGCTGCAGCATCCCAGGAAGCCCCAACAGTGCAGTGCAAAGCCACCACATCCTGGGATGCCAGGGGAGCGTGGTGCAAAGCTGCAGCCCAGCAATGTGGTGCAAAGCTGCATCCCAGCAGCACTGTGCAAAGCCCTAGCCACCCCAGGAAGCCCCCAGCCCAGCCCCCTTGCTGCCCTGCACTCTGAGACCCCTGCTGCCTGGCACTCTGCCACCCCAGCTGACCTTCCCTGTCTTCTTGCTCCTGCTGCTGAAGAGGCGTGCCCGCCCTGGCCCTTCGCGAGGCAGCTGCTGGCCAATGAGGCCATCTTCCCCAGGTCTCGAAAGGAAACTGTCATGTACAACCTTGGGAAGAAAGCCTTGTGCGGCCAGCAGCTGCCTTGCAAAGGACCAGGCCAGACTTGCTTGGTCAGCAGCGGGAGCAAGAAGATGGTTAAAGTCAGTCAGGGTGGCAGGGGCCACGGAGTGCAGGGGGCTAAAAGGGCATAGATGGAGGGGAGATAGGTGGGTGGGGGAAGTTGAAGCGCCCCTGCAATCATAAGTGCAGGTAGGCTGCCAAATATCTGAATTTTGATCATGTGACCGTAGGGGCACTGCAATGGCAGTAACTCTGAGGACCAGTCATAACTACCATTTGTTCAGCGCCACTGTAATTTTGAACGGTCACTGAACAAATGGTTGTAAGTCGAGAACTACCTGTATTTCTCATATGAAATAAATTATAAGGGAGAGAGGAAGCGTGGCTATCTTACCTCAATCTTTTTGTTTAGATCCTTACATTCCTGAACTAAGCAATCTTTGGTTCCATAAAAAAAATACACAGCCTACAAAACAAACAGAGGTGGGATTTTAATGATCAAGAGACTGGACAGTGGCATTTTTTTATGCTACAGAACAGACCTAGATTCCAAATTCTTTTGAAGCATATATAATTATTGCATAGGAGTATTTTGAAAGAGCTAAGTACCATGCACAAATATTTAAAATTCTAGTACAAAGAGACAAAAGATCCACTTTCTTTCTCTAGGCTAGTCAGTTATACTTTCAAACCCCCCACCCCTGGCCACCTGAAATTATCACCACTAGTAATTTTGAAAAAATGATTTGCTGGAATTTCCTAATTTGGGACAGTCCACATTCCAGTTACATAAGCTTTATATTACATCTAGAACATTTCCAACATGTTAGATTCTGAACTCTTCTTATGAATCAAATTACACTGATAAGTTAACAACATATTATGCTTCTCTTAAAGCAAGATAAACTAAGAATGCCCTGCATTAAAGATAGGTATGAAAACCAAGAAACCCCATCAGAGAAAATAAAGCTTATTGTTAATATCTATAAGAAGGCTGGATAACACATCTTCTACCTCTAAATTACATTCCAGTATGTGCAGTATTTTAATGTAACAATCAAGAATACTGAACTAGGACCAGATGTTTACTGGTAACTTTCAGCTAGTTACTTCCCCTAAACATCGTAGGGAGAAAATGGGTGCAGTTTTACTATTTGCAGTTCTTTGACTTATTGGAGGAAGAACAGGTAAATATTTATATGTTTCAATATCTAAATTACCCAGGTTGCAAATGTGTATTAATGACAGGCATATTTCAATTCCCCAATTACTATCATAATTGGAAACAATGTATTAATGCAAACTGAAAATAAAGCCCTAAAGTAGTATTAAAATATGACAATAGGAATTATTTTTATACAAAGGGCAACTTCAAATTATAGATCCATAGAGCTGAAACCAGGATCAGCAATTGTTTCAGGCAGCGGGCACCACACTCAATTTCAGGAATATTGCAGGTGATTATGGTTGGTCACACAGTCAACCAGATGTTTAGACTGGATTTAGCATTTTTTCCCACCTATCGAGTCCTTCCCAAGGACCTGGCATAGGCAGATGTTGTTTAATAATATTAAAGGTATTGTA